TGTTATATGTTATATGTTCACATTTACATACTGTTATTAATTTACTTTTCTATGTTGATGTTGGCTAATTAGAATGATTAATATAAATCTATTTTGCATTTATAAACTTAACTGAAGAATACAGGTCATTATAGTTTTGATTCTGAACTTTCAGTATTCTTGTAATCCAACCTATTAAGATATGGTATTTTGTCTTTTATCAGTTTAAATCCTCTTGGCTCTCACCCTTGCTGAAGCTTTACACAGGATCTACAGGACTATGGCTGGCTGCTCAGAGTCTGGTTACAGGATTTCCCAAAAGAATTTTCTGGAGTGATTCAGATGAGTGAGGACATCAAGAAAGTGCCACCACACACACTCCCCTTCATCCTGCTTCTGGGGGTTTAGACTGAAGGTTTCAATGAGTGATATCCTGAAGAACTAAAACTTGATTTGGGGCATATAGAATAAAGCAAATCATCTATATTAGTCTGAAAGTTGTTGCATTGGAAAACCACTTACCCATGCACATTGTAATGCGACCAATGATGCTATGTGTGGCCATTCTCTATTCCTGATAGAAAGTGTCTTTGAAGAATTGATGATTATTCTATCTCTAATCTCTGTGACAGTATGTATAGGAAAGATCGTCACCAGGAATATCAAGTCAAGCCAGTCTTTTAAAGAGCTCCAACCATAAGAATGGCTTAGCCTAGGACCAGAACAAAATAGATCCTGCTCCTACTGGGCTCATCTGCTGGCTATTTTCTTGGATGCCTGGGACTGTGGTGGGTTCCATAGAGAGTATTTGGGACAGATTTCACTCTGACCATCACCAGCCTCCCTGTGATTCACATAACCAACTATTCCTCTCCATAGTTTTGTAAACTTCCCTCTCAGCACTTCAGCCTCCACCACAAACTTCACAGAGAATGAGTCAGAGATTTTACTGCTCCAGCTGTATCCTCTCTGCTCAGTCCTGCTTTCTCCCATGGTCATTGTTTGCATCATTGACTGTTATCCTGCATAATCATGGAAGAGTATGTAGTGGCAAGGGAAGATGGAGTAGAACAAACTAACTAGAGAATATTTGAAGATAAGCTTCACCATGAACATTATTACATGACATAATTCCTTCTCTATCTATTCAGAATATTTCTCATCTTTAAAACTGTTACATAACAAGGGAAACTGAGGCTTCAAATCCTTGTGGAGATAGGGTTAGTGCCCTGACTGTCTTTTCCCTGTGCCTAATTAAAGAGAAATTCTCACATTTCTATTTTATTTTTATTGCATTTTCTTCTGATATTCCATCATGATTGTAATATAGGGTAAAGACAAGCTGTCCTACAGTTACCCCATCTTTGCTTATTATCGCAATGGTAATAGGCAAAGAGAAGAAAGGTGAAAAAATGCACCGGCGGGTGTTCCTACTCATTTAGAAACTAAAATGAAGCTAACCTTTTATATCTAGTAGCTTATTTCTAAATTATTTGGTTTGATACCTATATGTCTTCTGTGTCCATTCACTCTATATCTTTGCAACTATTAACAGGTTGTCTAAGACCTTTACATCCTTTTCTATTTGTAAAAAATGTAATAAGCTAATAATATTTAATGTATATTTTTTCTGACACTAGCTTTTCTTCATTATCTATACCACTAAATTTTAATTTAAAAAGATTTTCTGTAATTTTAAATAATTTGGACGTCCACACTTTTTATACATAGGTAATCTTCAACTTACAATGGTTTTCATTCCAATGGATCAATAATTGTAATTCTTTTTTTCTTTCCACTGTCTCCAAAGCAGTGTGTGCTCAGTAGCAATCTAGATTCATATTTTCAATGCTTATGTTTACATGGGTGGTTGATACATAGTACTAATACTCTTCATTGATAGCAATCAGGGGTACTAAGCCACAGTTTCCAGTAAAATATACAATGATTATAAAAAAAGGCTTTATGTTAGATGTATTTGTCCAACAGCAGAATAATGGAAGTGTTCAGAGAGGCATGTAAGGTAGCTTGGTTACCTAAAGTGGTTCTGCAGGATATATGTAATAGATGCATTTTTTTTTTGTCATTTGTGGGGCTTGAACTCGGCCCGGGTGCTCTCCCTCAGCTCTTCAGCTCAAGGCTACCTCTTTACCACTTGAGCAACTGTGCCACTTTGGTTTTCTGAGTGGTTTATTGGAGATAAGAGTCTCACAGACTTTCCTGCCTGGGTTGGCTTTGAACTGTGATCCTCAGATCTGAACCTCCCGAATAACCAACATTACAGGCATTCAGGTCATTGTAATACAAGCCACTGGCGCCCAGCTTGTATTGTATGCATTTTTGAAAAATAATATATCCAAACTACAATGGATTTATCTGGGTGTAATAATAGTGTTTAGCTTAATTTTCACTCTGATTGAATTCTTTAAAACCTTGTAATCAACATTCTATAACATATTAATAGACTCTCTATATGTGTCTGTATATGTATTTTGCATGTGTATGAAAATAGGCGAAGAATTCCTCCCTAAGTTGATGACCACCCACAGTGGGCATCATTCCCAATGTTGGCTATTCTTTTTGAATTCATGGCATTTCATTTTTATGAGTTGATGTATTTTCTGATCTCAGAATTATTGGAAAAGTTGCTTATGTCAATTCTTTAATACATTGGGAACTGATTTCCTCCTCACATTGGCAAATTGTGTCTTTCCATTATGTTTTTCTCCATTTTTTCACAATGTTTATAAGTACTATTCATCTTTTAAAAAATATTTATTTTATTGTGATATTAAGGTGAATTACAGAGGGATTATAATTATATGAGTCAGATGAGTACAGTGATAATGGATAATGAGATAATTTTGTACTATCTTGTCTATTCCCTCACTCTCTCCCAGTCCCACCCTCATGTCTCCACCTATGAAATATATAAAGTTGTATAGTTCATTGCCATCCATGTCCGTGAGCTCCACTGCTGCCCCTATTCACAATTTTTACCTCGAATTCTATACAATTCTGTATTCCCTCAACCCTCCTGAGTATGTACACTTGAATTCACCATATATAAAGAAAACAGAATCACAGAATCATCAAAAATTAAAAGAAGAAAGACAGATCTTTTGTTCTGTATCATTGAGTTCCTTTAGATATATATGTATATATATAATTTTATGTAAATATGAAGAGGCATGTAGACATTCAGCCTAATTGTTTCTCTCCTAATAATATTCTCTTATGGTCTGATTTTGTGTAGCTATTTAGAATCCTGTATGATTTATCATATCCCAATGCGGTCTTTTCAGGTACCATCTATACCTAGATTTCTCTTGGGCTCTGACTTAGACCAAAACAAGCTGTCCTCATTTTGACCATCCCTTCCAGCAGGTGGCAGGATTTACACACCAGTATCCAGTGAAGATCATTAGGGGCAGGGCTGGCAACCTTGTAACAATACACTCTTGATATATTTAGCCAGTGATTTCTCCAGGCCCTTCACCTGCAGACCTCTGGAACACTAGAGTCAGCCTGTGGAAGTTCAAGATAGTAGAAATTTATTCTCTACTTAGGTTAAAAAAAAAAAAAGCTCTCACAAGCCTCTGGATCAAAGCAATTTTTCTGGTTGGGAGCTATCAGTCTGCCTTGCTCTCCTCACTACCTGTTAAAGACAACTTCTCTGACCTGATCTAGCTTTGAGATTGCTAATATTCACAGACAGAAAGGAAGAATCTGGGTATCATCCTATTTATTTGCAAGGGTGAGAACATAATGAAGACCCAGAGAAGATATCATTACATTGGAAGACCAATGAGAAAGAAACAACATGATATATAAAGCCATTGTGTCAATGTCCTTTCCCTTACTCACTGATTTGGTTCTGACCACCTTCCATGTGACACTACATGCATCTTAATTATTAGTGTTTCACGTGAGGAAGCAGATTTTGAATAAATAAATCGTCTTGCTTTTTTGAATTATTGTATGTCATCGTAAGATTATTAAACATAGCATGTAAATTGATAACATGTGGTTGTAAGTCCAAAATTAGATAGTGGCATATCACAAATACTGAGGTAATTTTGGTCTTTTCTAGTAGCAACAAGCTTTTGTTTCAGCCCCCTAGCCATCAAACCACAGGAAATGGCTTACTTAGGCCATTGTTAAAATTGCTTCCTTGCTTTAAGTGTTTTTCTAATTTATGTAGTAAAGCCAAATGAGGGAAAATTTGCCTCAGCCTTAAACCTGATCTTAAGGAGATTCCACATTTGTGAGGATTGGGGGTGGTCAAGAGGCTTGAACTCTGGGTGTAGGCGCTCTCCTTGAGTTCCTCAGCTCAAGGCTAGTGCTCTACTACATGAGCAACAGTGCTACTTCCATTTTTCTAGTGGTTAATTGGAGATAGGATTTCAATGGAATTTCTGGCCCAGCCTAGCTATGAACCACTAGCCTCAGATCTCATGCTCTTGAGTAGCTAGGATTACAGTAGTGGGCCACAGGGGCCTAGTGAGTATCCACATTTTATTTTAGGTTTATATGTATGTGTTGGAATAGACTGAGACATAAAAACAGCTTATATCTCTCTTGCTATGGCAGGAAGAATGTTCCAATGCATAAAGTTATTAAACCAGTTTAAAATGTCCAGAATCTCTATTCTCTCCATACCTTCACTTCTTCCATATATCTATATAAAACACTCACTTTGCCTTTATCTTATCCCTTTCTAGAGTCATTACAGAGAATTGAGATTAGCACACACAGGAAAAGCAGGTCCTCATCCCTGCAGGCACCATTAGATCTACTTATAGAACAGCAGACTGATTGTGACTTGTCCTGTTTGAATGAATCATATTCTCTAGTCTAAAACTAAGACACATGGGCATCATGTACCTATGATGATTTCCTGAGCTGAACCAGCCTTGCAGCTTTATCCATCTTTGCCCAGTCCTGCTAATTTGCATTTGCCTAGTTCAAATGTTACTGCCACAATGATTTCATAATAAGCTGTTCACACCTGTGCAGCAGTCAGTCACAGTCAGCACACTGCATGGACATGAGGATCACTGCTCAGCTCCTGGGGCTCCTGCTGCTCCGCCTCCCAGGTAAGGAAGGATAATACTTCTCTCACCCTGTGTGGTCAGTGATGCCTGTGGCTTCAGGGAAGTCCTGTAATAACATGATTTATAATGTGGATATTTGCTTTTATGTTTCCAATGCCAGGTGCCAGATGTGACATCCAGATGACCCAGTCTCCATCCTCCCTGTCTGCATCTCTAGGAGACGGAGTTACCATCTCCTGCAAAAGCCAGTCAGAGTATTATCAATTATTTAGCCTGGTATCAACAGAAACAGGGAATGCTACAAAGCTTCTGATTTCTTATGCAACTAGCTTGGCCTCTGGGGTTCCATCAAGGTTCAGTGGCAGTGGATCTGGGACAGATTATTCTCTCACCATCAGCAGCCTTCAGCCTGAAGATTTTGCCACTTATTACTGTCAACAGAGTATTAATTACCCTCCCACAGTGATACAAGCCATAATAAAAAAACGTCCCAGGAAAGCAGACGTGAGATGCTGGCCTGCCCCAGCTGCTTCTCCTAGTTCCTCTACCTGTTGACAGTGCTTCTCAGAAGCAGCCAGATTCTAAAGGAAGAATTCTGTCTGCAATCTAGCATTCTGTTCTTCTTAGCTCCAGCAAAATACCGATGGCACTGAGTCTCTGATTTAATAGTTGAAACCAATCGTTACATATGAGGAGTGCCCATCAATTATTTTGGACATTCCACATCACTAAATTATAAAATAGATTATTTTCAATCAGTTTCTTCATAGAAACTAAAACAGTTGCTCAAATAAAAATGATCTACTTTTGGTTTTCTGAATTTACTTATTAAAGAACCTACAAAACAATTTATGCAGGCCACTGATCTTCTGAAAATTAATGTCTTCCTATCCTCTCCAAGCACATCTGTATTAAGTGATATTTTGATTTCTTACTTTAAAAATATCCAGCTTACAGGACAAAATATTTCTTTTTTTTTTTTTTTTTTTGTCGGTCATGGGGCTTGAACTCTGGGCCTGGGCGCTGTCCCTCAGCTCTTCAGCTCAAGGTGAATGCTCTACCACTTGAGCTACAGCACCACTTCCGGTTTTCTAGTCGCTTATTGGAGATAGGAGTCTCACGGTCTTTTCTGCCTGGGCTGGCTTTGAACCACGATTCTCAGATCTCAGCCTCCTGAGTAGCTAGGATTACAGGCGTGAGCCACCAGCGCCCGGCTAGGACAAAATATTTCTATAGTCTGTCCATGAATCATTATCAATGTGCTAACCCCTACCTCATTCAAGCCAGCCTAGATTAGAAGCTCCAATTCTATTGGCAAATCGTCTTCTTCAACTTAATTTCCATTTGTTAGAAAAGGTATCTACTATTTTGCTCAGAAGAAACAAAAGAATTCAAGAGCAAGATGATCTCAAAGACAAGGAAGAAATGAGATAATATCAGAAAAGTGAGGATTTAGTGTTTCAAGAAGCTCATGCAAGCTCCCAAGTGTGTGCTTAGAATTATGAATGTAAAAGTTGGAATTAAGAGGCTTCACATGTTAGCCCAATTCTCAGTTCCATTTGTTTGTAATTAATAATCATCTCAGAAAAAAAAAGATAAAGATGAGTTCTGACACAATGGCCTTCTATTGGAATCTTCACAGAGCCAAAGACCAGGAGAGGGAAGGACCAGGACCAGCACCACATCAGCAGTGTTGAACTTGGGTTCAGAGTACTTCAGAAGCTGAGAGGACTAAACTGGAACCCCCCCCACACACACCCCTTCATGGCTCAATCTAGCAGAACCAAAGGCACAGAATCTTGTGAGGAAAAATCTCATTACAACCCTCAATCACCAATAATAGATTTTATAATTTTATAATTCTAAAATTCATATAAATGTAAATATATATAAATGTAAAGCTTTTTAAATGTGGTCTATTTTATGTCATTATTCTATTAATCAATATGCTTTCAATGCAAATTCAGAAAGAAAAGCAGACAAGAAAGCAATTTCAAAATATACAGATTCTTCCAATAACAGGATGTGTATGTTTAATACATTGAGTGACAAAGTGGAGAATATATTTATTTTGTCAAAGCTTCCTGACTCCTATACAAGTGTTCTACCAAATGAGCCATTCCCCATCAATTCTTAATTTTTTTAAATTGGGTGGCAATGCATTTTCACATTAAGACTTTGTATTCTCATAATATGGAAAAATGAGTTTGGATCTTTTCACAAGGATTCACTGAAACTAAAAATCCAGGATGAACTTGGGTTAGGAAGGGTTCAAAATTTCCCTTTCCTCCATGATTATAAACCAGGCATCACTCTGAGCCCCACTAATTGTAAATAGATATAAGTTGAGATCTAGATAGAACAATGACTTAAAAGAGAAATTTCTACTGCCGTCCTAATTTCTTTATGAACTGTTCAGTCAATAAATGTTTACAAATATCACTGGGATTGCAAACAGACTCTAGAAAGCTCTTGACAATGTATAAGGTCATTAAGATGTTAGAAAAAAATCAGGTCTTGAGACAAGCTCTTCAAATTCCCAGAGGCAAGGCTGGACAACAGTTAGATATACATTCAATGGATCTGAATCCCCAGGTCACATAGATTCCCCAGAATTCTCAGCCTTTCTTGAATGGAGTACCTGCATCCTCCCCAGGGAGGAGATCAGAGCACAGTACCTGGGGCTGTGCCACCCTGTCCTTAGTCTTGTTTCAACCCGATTAACAGACCTCATTTTCTAAGTTGCCAAATCTACCAATCCCATTTAAATAATCAGAAGTTGCCATAGTGTCATCCTGAATGCCTAGCTTACTCCAACAACTGCAGTTACTTCCCAAACATATCTGTGCCTCCCTCTCACACCTAGACTAATGCAGAAATAAGAGATATTTAAAATGATTTACAATGCTACTCAACCTTCACAGCAGCTATCCTTTCTCTCCATTGCTAGTTTAGGGTACTACTTCTGATCTGCAGATATAGAAAGTAGAGGTGAGCCCCGCTTATCTCCAGGTAGTAACAGAAATTTGGGCACATGTGATAAGAAAGAGATGTAAGAGGACTACGGAACAGGTGCTTAATGGGATGGAGCTTGCAAGTAATTTACGTTGAATCTGATCTGGAATATTAAACTGGTACTGGAACTGTGGATGTACTACAGCCCTTTTGAGAACATGAGACATTAACACAGTATGGCATTTGAGAAAATAAGGCATTAAAAATCCATAAGGAACTGGGAACTGGTAGTTTATGCCAGTAATCCTAACCACTCAGCAGTCTGGAATATGAGGATCACAATTTGAAGCCAGCTGAGACAAGAAAGTCGATGAAACACTTATTTCCAATTAACTACCTGAAAAACAGAAGTGCAGCTCTAGTTCAGAGTGGTAGAGCACTTATGCCTTGAGCACAAAATCTCAGGGACAACGCCCAGGCCCTGAGTTCAAACGCAACAGTTAAAAAAAAAGTGCACGGTCATTGTGACAAGTCACAAATAATGAAGTAACTTTGGTCTTCTGTTAGCAACAAGCTTTGGCTCCAGCCCTTGAGCCATCAAACCTCAGGACATGGCATACTTGAACAATTACTATTCTTGCTTTTAATAATTTTTCTATCTTATGAAATAAAGTAACATAACCAAGGAAGAACTTTACTCAGTCTCACATCTACTGAAGGAGAAGCCATTATTTTTTTGGTTGTAGAGCTAGAACTCTAGGTCTTGGCGATATCCTTCAGCAATTCAGCTCAAGGCTACTGCTCTATCACATGAGCCATAGCAAGACTTCTGGGTTTTGTTTTGTTTTTTGGTGGTTTATTGGAGGTGACTCTCACAGACTTTCCTGTCTGGGCTGGCTTTGAACTATGATCCTCAGATCTCGGGCTCCTGTGCAGGTAGGTTTACAGGTGTTAGCCTGTATTCATATTTTATCTTGTGTTTATGTGCGTTTTGGAATAGACTGAAGCATGAGTTCCTGGAAAATATAGCAGCTTATGTTTCCTGCCCTGCCAGTGACATGATGCAATGTCTAGAGATTTAGAATAGTTTAAATGACAAACTCCATTTTCTCTTATGTTCACAGGTATTTTGATATCTTGAGCTTGAAACACTCATTTTTCTCCTTAATCCTCTCTTTCATGTTGTTACATAAAATTGAGATTAAGACACTCAAGTAAACCAGGTCCTCACCCTGAAGGCACCAATAGATATAATCATAGGACAGAGGATTGATCATGACTTGTGATGTGTAGGTAAATCACATTCTCTGTTCTAAAGTAAGATACTTGGGCACCATAGACTTGTGATGATTTTGTGAGATGAGCTAGTCTTGCAGCTGTTTCCATCTTTTTGCATATACCAAGGTCACAGCCCACTGTCACAATGACTTCATATAGGCCGTTCATAACCTGTTGAGCAGTCGGTCCCAGTCAGCACACAGCATGGACATGAGGACTCCTGCTCAGCTCCTGGGGCTCCTCCTGCTCTGCCTTCCAGGTAAGGAAGGATAGTATTTCTCTATCCATTATGGCATGTGCTGACTGGGCTTCAGGGAAATCTGTAATAACATGACTAATAATGTAGATATTTGCTTTTATGCTTCCAATACTAGGTGCCAGAAGTGACATCCAGATGACCCAGTCTCCTTCCTCCCTGTCTGTATCTCCGGGAGACACTGTCACCATCTCCTGCAAAGCCAGTCAGGGTATTAGCAATTATTTAAACTGGTATCAGCAGAAACCAGAAAAAGCCCCAAAGCCTCTGATCTTTTACACTTCAAGGTTGACCTCTGGGGTCCCATCCAGGTTCAGTGGCAGTGGATCTGGGACAGATTATTCTCTCACCATCAGGAGCCTCCAACCTGAAGATTTTGCCACTTATTACTGTCTGCAGTACGATAGTAGACCACCCACAGTGATACAACCCATAACATAAATCTCCCAGATAAGCAGAAGTGAGAGGCTGGGCTGCCCCAGCTGCACTTTCTGGTGCCTTTACCTATTGACAGTGCTTCTCACATGCAGCCTAGCTCACAACTATTGCAAGCTTTTCATTCAGCTTTCTGCAAAGGCTCCTCTGTATCTCTGTCTCATTTCTCCTCCTCTGTCCTTTGAAGCACAGACATGGCCAATGTCTGTTCTCAGATAAGGGATTCACATAGTAAAACACAAGCCAGCCAGAATTCTCCAAGCAGGACTTGTTTTAATACAGGAAATGAGTCTAATCATTACCTTCTGTTCTCCTAAGTAAATAGAGAAGTTGGAACTAGGTGTGAGGAATTCTCCAGTTCTGTGAAGCTCTCCTAGGCTTTTGGGTACATAAGCCTGGGATTCAACAGAATGTGGAAAAAGCCAGTGTGAGCTGTTGATGCTCTCACCTGACCCAGCAACCACTCTGGGGTATTCTCCAGGCCTCAACTCTGTGATGATGTCAGCCTGTTTATGTCAAGAAATGCACAAACCCCTAATGTTGCAACTCTGCAAGAAACCAGAGAAGGAACAGGCATTTTCACTTCTACAACAAAGGTAATGATCATAATGATGGTTTGAGATAGCTCACAGCCCAGGATCATCACTATTTCCCAAATTCTCAGAAATATTCCCCCTAAACGATGGCAATAGAATACACTTAAATTTGATAGTTTGTTTTGTCTACAAGTCTGAAATCATAAAAAATAAAACTTCATTAAGTCTTGGAAGAAAGTATAAAAGCTGAAAATTGTATAAAACATCGCAAGTTGTTCAAGAATTTACAAAGGAACAAACAATTGAAAGAACTTCCTTAATAAAACAAGTGAGATGTAAAACAATACAACATATAAAAATAGAAAATAAATTACTTGCTTTAAGATTTGATTTCCTGCTATGCACAGGTGACCCCTACTTGCAATCCTAGTTAATCAGGAGGTTGAGATCTGACGACCAAGGTTTAAAGCTAGCCTGAGCAGGAAAAGCTATGAGACTCTTATCCACAAATAACTACCAAAAATCCAAATGTTGAGCTGAGGTCAAAGGCACAGAGTGCTAGCTTTGAGCAAAAATGAAGATCAGAGACACCATCCAGGATATATGTGAAGATAGATAAATAAGATATTGACATATGTGTATATGTATATGAATATATTGATATATGTATATATAAATATTCATGTATATATGTATATATATTATAAATATATATGTATATGTATACACATATATGAATATATATTTATTTATGTATATATATATATATTTCCTTAGTGTTATGCAGAAGCATTTTAGTTTGAAGTGTTTCCCATTGTCATTTCTTGCCCATATGCAACAGGATTCCTGTTTATAATTACCTGTGACCTTATCTTCAAATATTTTTCCTTGTTTTCCTGGGGTTGTTTTAAACTTTCATGTCTCACACTAATATCTGATCCATTTGTCATTTTATTTTGAAATTGTGAGATCAAGGAAATAGATTCTATATTCTATATGTAGATACCCAGTTTTCCCATCCCCAATTTTTGAAGATATTCTTGTTTTTAATTGTGAAAATACCATATAGAGGGATTACAATTACATGGGCAAGATAATGAGTATGTTTATCAAGCATTGTTGCCTCCTCCTTTGTTTCCCCTTCCCATTCCTCCACGTCTCCCCCCCCCCTCCCCCCCGCAAACACTTCCCGCCCTGCCAAAGTTGTAAAGTTCATTTTTCTACACAACAACTTGTACATATTGTTGCAACGGATGCACCTGTATCCCTATTTAAATAATTTGCTTTTTCCCTTCCCCTCCACAAATTATACCAACATCAAATACAGTAAAAGCAGGGGTTATACAATCTAGGAGGAACATTCAATGCAAAAAAAGAAATCATTTTCCAAATATGTTAAAAACAATCTCATGAAAGAAAAAAAACATTTGAATACTTAACTTGGGGTTCATTTCACCTAACATCAACTTATCTGACCTTTTCTGCTTGTCTCAGACATATACTACATATTGCAAATAAGGGAAATCATGGGACCTATGTTTCATTGGGCCTGGCTTACTTCACTTAATATAATTTTTTCCAAGTCTTTCTATTTCTTAACAAATGCGGCAATGTCATTCTTTCTGATGGAGGCATAGAATTCCATTGTGTAGATATACCACATTTTCTTGATCCATTTATCTACTAAGGGGCATTTGGGTTGATTCCATAGCTTAACTATTGTAAATCATGCTGCAATAAACAGTTGTGCTAGTAGCTTTAGAATGGTCTTGTTTGTGATTATTTGGGTAAATGCCCCAAAGTGGGATTTCTGGGTCATAGGGGAGCTCTATGTGCAGTCTTTCGAGGAACCTCCATACTACTTTCCAAAGTGGTTGAAAAGTTTCCACTCCCACCAACAATGCAGTTTGGTTCCATTCTGGACACATCCTCTCCAGCATCTGTTGTTATTAGAGTTCTTGATTATAGCCATTCTAACTGGGGTGAGGTGGTATCTCAATGTTGTTTTGATTTGCATTTCTTTTATGGCTAGAGAGGTTGAGCATTTCTTCCTGTGTCAATTGGCCATCCTTCTTTCCTCTTCAGAGAAGTTTGTCTGTAAGTCTTTAGCCCACTTATTTATTGGGCAGTTGTTTCTTTGAAGATTTGCTGTTGGGTTTGTTTAATTTTTTGAGTTGCATGTATACTTTAGATATGAGACCCTTGTCTTTTTTATGGTTAGTGAAGATCTTCTCCCAATCTGTGGGCTTTCTATTGTTCTTGCTAGCTACGTCTGCAACTTAATGCTATCCCATTTGTCCAACCTTTCTTTGATTTGTTGTGTTTCTGGGTCTCTATTAAGAAAATTTTGGCCTGTGCCAAGAAGACCTAGGGTTTCTCCTATTCCATCCTGTAGTATTTTCAGAGTGTCTGCTTTGACTCTGAGGTCTTTGATCCATTTGGAGTTGAGTCTGGTGCAGGGTGATATGTAAGGATCTAGCTTTTGTTTTCTACTAGTAGTTAACCAATTTTGCCAGCAGCGTTTACTGAAGAGGCTGACAACACATTCTTTTGACACTGGTAAATATCTAATGGCTACAGTTATGTGGATTTATTTTGGGTCTTGTCATTGGTTCCATTATTCTCCAAATACCCAAAGCTTGTTTGAGGGGTGAAAATTGGTGCAACTAATCCAAGTCAAATGACTTTCCAGGTAGCCTTGCATGAGCTGGATGTCTGGAGAAGCTCTTTTCTCAAGGGAAGATTAAACACATAAGTTCACTCTTTCATGATCTTGCAACCTGTCTATAGGTTTAGAGACATTGACTGAGATGCTCTCAGTGTATCTTTGCTATCACTGTGACACAAGACTTCACATTAATGCTGCTAATCTCTCAAATTGTCCTCAAATTACCCACTTTATCTTTATCAATCAAAGTATTTGGGCTTGTAGCTATGAGACACTACACTCAATATTTTTTTAGACCCAATATTTTTAAAATGCCAAATTATAAGAAATAATTCTACATAAAGTTGAGTTTGATCTCTATTGTTTCCCTTCTCCTTCACAAAAACCTTTAATGATCTGCCTCTAGGAGTTTTCCAGGAAAGTATTTTCACCTTCAATTTGACCACAAGAATCAGAAGCTAAGCAGTTACTCTTCCCAAAGGACTCTTTTGTAAAATCTATTAAATATTACTTCCTCCTCCTATTCTGATTTTGTTCTATTTATTCTATCTGTTTGTTAAGTCAGTCAAATGAGTTAATGTGAGTGGTTTAAACAAGAACTGCAGCAGTGGAAATCACAAAATTGGCTTAGAACCATGTAGTTTTTATTTGCTGAGTTCCATGGTGTTCATCCTAAGGATACAATGTCGAAGTTCAAATACAAGTCAATGCAATTGTTGCACTTGTTGCTTTCCACAGGAATCAGATGGTCAAGACCACCTTCAAGGCCAAGAGGTAGTGCTGAAAACAATGGTGGACCAGCTGATTGATTCCATCTCTTAGCACAAGTAGTCAGTGAGTGGTTTTACAGCATGAGGCTGGTATGTAAAGTCTGAGCCAGAGCCATCACCCTACCATTGTACATTTTAGTGTCACTCAGGACCCCTACTACTTTGTCAAACATCACATATTTGACATCTCATAGGGAACACACATCCTAGTTAACCAACAACTTTGTGGCCATTAAATTATCAGAATTAATGATGACCTTATTCTTTTTTTCATAAACTGCTAAAAAAATGTCTGAGAGGAGGAACCATTTGCATTCGCTACTGAATCTGGCCTTAACCAGATGGACTAGGACCAGATTTGTGAATATTGGAGAAAAGATCCACAGTTCAGACACGGGGACTACATTCTGAAAGTCTTAAAGATTGTAATGTCACAATTCCACCACCAGAGGACAAGCCAACTTCACACTCAACAAAGACCCACAGTTCAGATCTTGAAAGACATTGACACCATCACATTTCTAGGCATGCAGCCATGTCGGAGGTCAGGTACAGTACCTGAGAACAAGAATTCTCATTTGCTCTATCTGGCAGGTGTTTACAGAGGTGGCTATGATTTATTGGTCAGGTCTAGGCTGGCCTTAGCAGATGGAGTAACTATTCAGGTGATGGTCAGAAGCAAAGAGAGAACACCTGTAGTTGTTATCTTGGCTTCTGTTGGATAAATACTTACTGGGCAAGATAACATTGCAGTATACTTCCCTCCTGTTTTAGTGTAATAGCATGAATTCTCCAAATAACAAATATTAATAACTTTGGAGGAATAAATTAATGTTTTGGTCCTGAGCCAGCAGAGAAGGAAAGAAAGAAAGAAAGAAAAAAAGGAAGCAAGGAAGGAAGCAGGAAGAAAGAAAGAGAGAAAGAAAGAAAGAAAGAAAGAAAGAAAGAAAGAAAGAAGGGAAGAAAGAAGGAAGGAAGGAAGGAAGATATTGAGAACAGGAGTGATGCTGCCTCTTCGTCAATAGGAACCTG